TAAACCACATCCGAAAGCTACGAGGGTTCTAGATTAAGTCTAATGCATTAAAATGCCACGAGACGACCAGTCCTTGTTTCTTTAAATACATGAAAAAAAAAGACACCACTCCATTTTTTCTCCCCCTTTCCCCCAAAAAGAAAAAAGAAAAGATATTAGAACCAAGAAAATTTGAGATGTCCAAATGTGCCAATTAGTATTTTAAGTTCCCATGTGAAGAGTGATGAGCGCCCTAAGTGACGGCAGTCACGAGGAGAAGAGCACGAGCAATATAAAAAGCGTCCCTGATATCAGAATAGAAGCAAGTGAGGACCAGGCCAAATAGCTCGCTGATTCTTAGGCACAAATCAGCTTCAGACCTGGCGTGGCCACCAAGGTCTTTGCTCGGGGGAGAAGCCTATTGCTTGGCCTTTGCTGGCAGCTCTGCAGGAGGAAGGGCGGGGTGTGCCAGACAGGTTGCACTCTTAGAAACAACTATGCATAGGAGGGTGTGGGGCTGGGAGCCTGTGCAGGGGTACGCACCTCAAAAACGTTCTTTTGGTCCGGGGTATGTTGAAGTTGGCCATGGACAGCAGCACATGCAGCTGGCTAATAAAATTAGGTGTTGAGGGGAAGTCATTTGAAATGACAGCAATGATGACAAAGCTCAAGAAGATGGGCATAGGAAATTCACATTTTATTCAAAAGCAAGAAAACTTATGGAGAATAAAAGCCAATCATGCTCCTTCCTTTCAGCATTTTGCCATCATAACTGCTGAAGAATGAAAACCAAAATGACCCCAGATTTGTCAAGGTCAAGTATGTCGTCAAATGGATAACCTGCAGGTATCAGACGCTCAGAGAACTATTGAAGATGTCACAATGTCCTGCTTTTGAGGTATTTAAAAAAAATTGTGACAGTGGATGATGCAAAAATGGAGCTTCCTGTTATGTTCTTAAAACACCCAACTTCTGTGGACCCAAGGAGAAAGTTAGCACCAACTAAAAAAGCAGCCTCAGTGGCACCAAAGGACAAATCCAGTCTGGATTCAAGGAGCTGACCAAGAGCAGCAGAAGCCATGCTGGCCAAAGGCTGTGGGGAGCTTAGGAGCAAGCCCCTTGTCTGCCATGGTCCTGGTGCCTAGTGAGGAAGGAGCTCTCTCTGGACCCTCAGTGTCCCCATTCAAGGCTCCAGGGTCATCTGCTTAGCACCCTGGACCACAGGAGGATGCCTACCAAGCTAGAAGAGACAGGAGTACCTGAACCCCCTTCTTCTACAGCATCACCCCCCAGGCCCTGTCTCATCTGGCCCCAAAAGATGGGTACAAAAATCACAGTGTCCACTCTTCACTGCTTCCCTGACCAAGGAGTGACTTGCTTTCTTGCCTTTCTTTGGCCACCAAGGTAAGAACAACAAACCCAAACAACAATAAACCAAACCAAAACAAAAACCTGTTCAGAGCCGAGTATAGCATGGTAAACAGAGGTCTAGGAAGACAGCACCAAAAGGGGGGGGGGAGGCAGGGAAATAAAAAGCAGAGAGACTGGAGCCCACCTTGTTTTTGGTTGGTTGTGGTTTCAGAACATTGATAGCACCTCAGCGAGACAGGATCAGGGACAGTCACATTAAAACACCATAGCACCATTTTATTTAGACTATTTCAATTCATAAAAATGCTTCCTAGTCCATAAAACACATTTCAGTAACAAAAGGAAAGATACTGGTTGAGGCACATCAGGGCTATCGGAGTTTCCCACCACCTTTGCCTTGGTGTGAGATCTTGAAGAGTTAAACTTCAAGAACAAAGTCTGGCTGGATTTCTTTCACTGACATCAGATTACAACCATCCTCACGCACCTATTGCTGTCTGATACAAAGCAACGGAACCACGCTACTTCCTTCCTTGCTTCAGCACTTTTCAAAACAGTCTCTTGCTCTGCAAACTACTGTTTCCAAGAGGCAGATGGGAAGGCCAGAGGGGCCGGGAGAATGCCTTTCCATGCACACCACTATCATCTCAGTTAGAAGGCAAAGTAGCACCCAGGAGATTGGGTGTGGGGAATTTAGGCCCTGCTGATAAACCAGACCCGAAAACAATCCCCTTCCCCCAAATCTATGCAACACCCTTAGTGGAGCTTTCTGATGGTAAGATGGTTTCTGAAGCTAGCACCAGTTATTTTGTGAGAACCTGCTGCAAGGTTAGTTTTTACTTAAAAAAAGGTCTCTTACGTTGAACTTTCCAAGTACTTCCCTGGTATACAATAAGCCGGGAAAACAAAGCAAAAAATGAAGCAGACATGTGCACGGTGTGTGGATGGTGTCCGTGGATGGGGCACCCAGGGGAGATGACTGTAAGACTATCATTTTCCGATGACACAGTACTCTTAAAACTTGGTCATGCTGTTAGGTTCTTTAGTTGCAATGGCTTTCACTTTTCTTCTCATGATACAAATGTCTTTCAATCACTTTTAGGGCTTAAAAAAATGATTAGTGCCAGTAAAAAATAAAAATTTGATTTTTTTTCTTTTTTAAGAAGCCTTCAGCAGCAAGGGGAGGGGAGCTAAAGAGCTGTGCATAGTTACTTCTTCTTAAATACACGTCTAAAGCATGCTCATTTCAATGACTGAGATTTGAGGTAGGTTATACATGTAGTGTGTGAAAAGTCAGCATGGGCACTAGCATGGCCACAGCACCCCTAACTCTGGAAAAATGCTCGCTCAGGGGTGGGGGTGGGATTGGGAACATCCAACACAGACTGCCTCTCCCTCACCTCGCCTGGCCTCGCTGTAGCCTGTTTCCTGGCCTAGAGCTTATGAACCAAGGCTGTGTGGCAAGGGGGACACACGTCACATGCTTTTTAGCTTGTATTGGTTTCTTTCTTCTAATGGCTTTGCTACCGTAGGGTGACAAGAGAAAGAGTATACTGAACACACATCAGAGAGACTCACACATGCCAAGTATCAGAATCACCTGGGTTACACTCAGGACCTTCCAAACCAACAGCCAACCTGGGGCTTCCACGAGCCATACGGACGGTCACATTCTCCAAATGTTTCGCAAAATAGCATATTTCTTGCTTAAGATCATTTAAAATGAAGTTTTCAAGGCACCCCCGCATCTACCTAAGCAAGGAGTCAAATGAGACCTGCGTAAAAGTACTGATGCGATAAGCAAAATAGCTTTTAAAGGACCCAACTTTTCCTCAAAACTAGAAAATCAGCATGCTTCTTAAAGACTCTGCCTCCTTTCGCTTGTCAAACTGAAGGTCAGAGGATTTCCTATAAATCTGAGTTCTGAATAAATCTAAATCCTGATAAGCTCTTGGGTATTTATTTCAAAAGCAATAATATTTCATTTTTGTCCTGTAAAATAAATGCAACTTTACAGAATATGGTAAAAGTGGAGGATAGACAAAGCACATTAAATATTTAGCTACTATTTACAATTTCTCCCACAATTACATGTTAAAATGTATTTTTTCCCCCAAGTTGCTGTTTAAATCTAGGCAAAAGTGCTTAAAAAAATCTTTCACTATTTACAGTTAAAACCAGACCACATGAATGCTCAGGACATCTTACAGAGACTCTCCGCCAGGGCTTCCGAAGCTTCTAGTAAACGCAGTGGGGCGGCTCTCAGCTCTGACACAAGGCACCCGGAGGCTCAGGAACTTGCCTTTAGCATTGCCATCTGATTGTTAAACTTAATTCATGAAGACCCACAGCTGAATAAAACTGCTTAATAAATACCTGATTTTTTTTCCCTCAGGGCTTGACTGTCACTCACTGGGTGGCCATGTCCCCCCTGTGTGCCCCCACGAAGCTCCCCACTCACCACACATATCCACGTGAGTAGCTTGGTTTCTTTTCTGTGAATACCACAGGAAAGCACACACTCCAATAAGTCTGACTTGCTGTAAAATGAAGGTTGCTTCTACCAGACAGGCCCAACCTCTCTTTGACAAGGTCACAAAAATTAAGCACCACATTCTCATCAAAGGACTACACAAATGCACCAGAATTTTAGAATGGGTGTGTTACAAGGGGTGGAAAGGGGAGGAAGGAAAAGAAAAATGATCCGATGGAGAACTGGCACCAATGAAGGAATAAAAATCATAGCAACCTGTTGAAAATGTTTGACTCTTGGACTTTCAAATTAAGTACAGGCCCCTCCCCACATGAGAATAAGTTGGGGGGGGGACCGGGGAGGCATGCACCATTGTCCGACGTGGAGATCTAGGAATAAGGACAGATGTGTTAACTGTTGTTACACTGGCTCGCTGAGCTCCCGAAGGACCCCACCTGACCCAAGAGTCAAGAAAGTTCCAGCACAATACTTACAGCACCAGGTTCCCTGCACAGCACAGCACCAAGCAGAGCCATAGAGCCTGGATAGCTCGTCACAGCTTGGGTTCAACTTCTTGTTTTTAAAAATACGGTAGCCCTTTTTCAGTATCAGCATAAACTGTGGGGCGATTTTTAAAAACTGCCACTAAGATTCCTTCAGCCCAGTATTCATTGGCTTATCAAAGTGGTGGAAAGGGCTCCCAGGAGCCTCTTGACTCTCGCTCCAGCATGAGGTGCCATCTAGCGAACCAGGACATCATGTACTTGATAAATAACGGACAGAGAGGATTCAGTGTGGAGACTAGCAAGCTTGAAGCCGTCTACTTGCAATCTGGTTTCTGGGGAGATCTACACCAGCATCTCTGGCCAGACCTGGGGGGGCTGAGGCCCACTGCCAACTGGGAAGGGACCCCAGAAGTTTGTGTATAGCTTTTCCCACCCTACAGAGAAGACAGAGGCTGTCCGGAGCAGTCCCTGTGCACGGGGAGGGACAGACGGATGGACTGGGGCTACCCGCTGCCGTTGGCTCGGAGGGGCAGATGGCTGAGAGGACCATCAGCTCCCAGGAGGCTGCACTGGCTGGGCAGGAACAGCACTGCTGGCCTCTCCCGTCTAGCTGCTACCATTACTATTGTCGCTTTTTTAAAAAATCCAATAAATATACATTTTAAATGGAATTTAAAACCACTCCTTTGTGAAAGGACACTATAAACTTTCTTTCCATTATTGTGATATACAAGGATAGAGTTTTAAAAACAAAGGAAAAAAAAAGCCCCTCAAATAAGGGGAAAAATAAAACATGGAGATATAAATATTAAGATCACGAAAAAAAAAATCACCCGACAGCCGTAGTTTCTTCTTCAAAGTGCTGGGGAAGTAGGAAAGGGAGGGGCGGGTCAGTTCTGAGGTTTGGACCATAAATACATATATATGATAGGCATATCCATATATGTAGATATAGAAAGACTTCTGCACCCCCAACCCGCCCCCAGGTGTGAGGGCAAAAGCACCACAGAGGCAGCTCGGGCGGGGCCCGACGCTGAGGTACGCTGGCTCCTGGCACCTAGATCCAGCGGCTGTAGGGGCCAGTGACCTTTGTGTAGGCATAAGAGGACACGGTGACCGCCGAGTCTGTGGGCATGGCCAGTGCCTGCCGGGTGGGGACAGCCCTCTTCTTCTCCTTGTTCTGGGACTCTGCAACGATAGCGCCCCCCCACTTGCGCTTCTTCCCATACAGCTTGGCCTCCTGTTGGCCCAGGCCCAGCCTCGCAGCTTCCTCCTGCCGCGCCCGTGCCCGCTCTGCCAGCTGCTTCATCTTAGCCTCCCAGAGGGCCAGCCCGTGATTGGGCTGGTTGAGGTTCTTGTGCTGGTAGAAGACCAGCGAGATGCGGGTGGGATGGAAGCGGTTGGGCTTCTTGAGCGGCGTGGTGGCATGCAGCTCCCGCCGGGCGCACTCGATGAGGATGGAGCCATGGGCAGGGGCCACGGCCACACCACCAATGTTCTCATCCAGGAAGTTGTGTTCACTGTCTGACCACAGCTCCTCTTCTTCCTCCTCCACCACTGGACCACCCTTCTCTTCCTTCACCACCCCTTTGCTGGGGGGCTCCTCAGCCGTCCCTTCCTCCAGGCTGAAGGGATCCCACAGCTTCTCCTCTGACTTCAGGGCCCCAAATAGCTTCTCACTGGAGCCCAGGGGCATACCGAAGGCCTGCCAGGCTTTATCCAGCTGGCTTGAGCTGGAGGTGGGAATCCTTGCCTCCTCCCCTTTCATGGGATTCCACAACTTGTCTTGAAACCCAGGACCACCTTTCAGCGCAGAGTTGAAATCTGCTCCCCCTACTCCCCATGGCTTCTCAGTCAGACCAGGCCCAGCCAAGGCCGAGGAGCTGTTCCCAAACTTGCAGGGACTCCATGGTTTGCCTCGCAGCCGTCCTCCAGGATGGGGGGTTGACGGCTGCCCCTCACCAGGGAACAGCCCCCACTGGCCATCTGGGAAGTGTGCTGGGGTCAGGCAGCTAGCTCCAAAAGAATTAAGCTTGTCAGATCCAATGGCAGGACTCTCCCCTCGAGGGAACATACCCCAGCTGCCACCTACACTGTTAGTCCTCTTGGGCGACATGCTTGAGCCTCCTGAGTACTGCCCCCAAAGGTGATTGGGTCCCCCATTCTGAGATGCTTCGGGCAAAGGTGTTTTGCCCATCTTTCCAGAGTCTCTTGGTACAGATTCAGCCTGAGCCAGTGGGTCCACTGGCTCTTGCTTGATGGATCTGTTATAGCAGTTGGAGCTTTGAGCAAAGGGAGAGGGGTCCCTGGATGCCGGGTGGAGCTGGGGAGCCTTGGGAAGTAGATAATCCTTGGGACCTGGGTAAGCAGGCTGCTGGTGGTGAGGAGCAGGGTGGTGGGTATCTGTGGTGACAGCCTGGCCAGGCAGCTCGGCAAACTCAGCACCACCGTAGGCCGGGCTCAGGCTGTTGTGCAGAGCGTGGAGGTCTGGCTTCTTCTCAAAACTTCCATTGCTCCCACCGTGTCCCCAGGCACCAGGACCCAGGAACTGGGAGGGAAAGACGGGGTTGCTGGATGGAAAGCCATAGTAGCTGAAGGAGGGAAGAGCATACTTGGCGTGGAAGCCATTGACGGAGGCCAGGCTGGGCTGTGCATAGTGGGAGTGGTAAGAATATACACTGCTCATGCTGTAGGGATCTGAGGGCCGGCAACTGCCCAGCACCGAGTAGCTCTCCACCACCGCGTTGCTGCTGTACTTGAAAGAGCTGAAGTGGTTCTGTGGCTCCACCTTCAGGGAGGGCTTCAGGCTTTGCTGGGACAACCCACCCTTCAAGGCCAGGCCTACAAAAGCAGAAGGCAAGGTGTGAGGTGTAGGGCTTGGGACATGATCTCCCTCTGTCCTTGAGATGGGTCTTGTCAGGAGAGGCAGGATGGGTGAGTGCTGAGCCTGCAATTCTCCCTAGGTACTCCTAAGCTCAGGCCCCAGTCCTGGGGGTGCGGTGTGCAATTCGTGTGGCTCTTGCAGTATTACCTCTCCACATTAAACTCAGTTTTCACTAAAGCAACCTCCATTCCCATATACTGGTGAGGAGAAATGACAGCTGCTTACAACCCTGCTGCCCACCCTGGGCCCTGGTGTAATGTTCTATTCCCCAGATGAAGAGGGCATGTGAGCGCAGTGGAGGGGAATCCAAAGGCTCATTCCCTGAAGATAGCCAGTCAGTTCTGCACTCACTTGCCCAGGTGATTCCACTGTGTTACCTTTTTTCCTTTTCCTTTTGTGGTACTGGGGCTTGCACTCAGGGCTTCGTGCTTACTAGGCACTTTGCCACATGAACCATGCCCTCTAATCCTTTATGCGTTAGTTATTTTGTAGATAATGTCTCAGATTTTGTTTAGGGCCAGCCATGAGCCACATCCTATTATCTATGGCTCCTAGGCATTAACCACAGTGCCTGGCTTATTGGTTAAGAAAGGGTCTCCCTACCTTTTTCCCCCAGACTATTCTTGAACTGTGATCTTCTCATTTCTATTTCCCAAATGGGTGTTTTGAGAGAGTGTGCCACCACACTAGGCCCTATCAGGTACCTTTCTGACACAGTGGCTCAGGGGCCAGAGGACTTTCTGCCTGAGTAGCCAGCATGATGTAGGAAGGAGGGATAGATGAAGTAAGACCCCTGGAAGATCTGACCCACGCCTGTCCTGGCTGTGTTCTCTCTACACACCTGGGTCGGTGGGGACCCCCGCCAGCTCCAGGGCCTCCTGCTTGATCTTCTCGGGGGTGCTCAGTTTCTCCTTCTGAATCTTCTTCTTCTCAGCTGCTGCCTTCCTGGCTTCCAGCTGCCGCTGGCGGCATGACTTGGCAGGCTCTGGCAGGCGCCGGACCTCACGAGGGAAGGCCGTGAGCACCTGGATGGCCCCACTGCTCACCTTGGCGTTCTGGTTCTCCTCACTACCAAACTCATCCGTGTTGGCCATCTTGTAGAGCGGGAGCACATGTAGCTGCTCATCCTCAGGAATCTGGCCCACGCAGCGATTGTCTTCCTTAGTCAGGGTGCACACCTGGCCCACAAAAGGAGAAGTCATGGGGCTGGGGGCCATGGTGGGAGGGAGGGATCTGAGTCCTCAAACATGTGACCTCTTTCCCCACACAGCCCCACTTCCAGCCATTCACCTAGTCCTACGACTTCCTAGAGGTTCTGAAAAGCAACAGTATCAGCAACAAGTAACAGTCTGTACTGTAGCTTTCATATTATCTTAATGTCCTTAGTGCTGCTGAGAGGGGCTGTGATGGCTGGTTAAGTCACAATGCTGATGAGAGCCTGGGCCAGGCTAGGAGAGCTGTCCACCTTGCAGCCCAGCATGCTACCACTGCACATGTCACCTAGCTGAGCCTCAGATCTACCTTTGCTTTTTTTTTTTTTTGTTGGTCGTGGGGCCTGAACTCTGGGCCTGGGCGCTGTCCCTCAGCTCTTCAGTTCAAGGCTAGCGCTCTACCACTTGAGCCACAGCGCCACTTCCGGCTTTTTTTTTTTTTTTTGCTTATGTGGTGCTGAGGAATTGAACCCAGGGCCTCATGAATGCAAGGCAAGCGCTCTACCACTGAGCCACCTCCCTAGCTCCAACAAGTATATTTTCTTATGTATTAAATATATTTGATATGATTTAAGATCTACATTGTATTGCTTTTTCTATCAATGTGTTAGTTTACTTAACTAATCCCTTATTATACATTCATACTTGTTTTCAAATTTTCCCTACCCTAACAATATTTTTCAAACTCTCCTTTGAACTACATTTCCTAAGATACTTTATTTCTTAGGTCCATGACACAGACCTGCTATATACTGCCAAACTGCCCTCCAAAATGATTCAGTTTTCTACTTATTCAATGAAACATGTTTCAAATTTTTATATTTTTGAAATTAATTCTTTTTTGTTGTTGGCTGTAGGTCTTGACCTCAGGGCTTGGGCACTGTTGTTGAACTTTTTCACTCAAGTCTAGTGTTCTACCACAGTAAATCACAGCTCTACTTCCGGTTTTCTGGTAGTTAATTGGTGGTAAGAGTCTCATGGACTTTCCTGCCTAAGCTGACTTTGAACGGTGATCTGGACTTTCCTGCCTAAGCTGACTTTGAATGGTGATCTCAGATCTCAGCCTCCTGAGTAGCTAGAATTACAGGCTTGAGCCTCCAGCACCAGCTACAATTAATTTCTTTAAAAATACTTTGCTCACTACTATTGTTTGCTTTCTCAATGGGTCTTGCTTCCCCTCTCCCCCAAATATATTTTATTCTCTTATTTTTATTTTTCTGGGTTTTTTGTTTTTGTTTTTTTGCAAGTGTTCTAACACTTGAGTTTGAGCCCCCAGCCAAACTCTGTTTCTGTACTCTTGATACTCTGGTCTTGATCTTGGAAGAAGGGCTCCATACAGAGTTTTCTAATTCTTGGAGATGGAAAGCTGTATACATAGCCATAGCAATTGTGGGTATAAATCCATATCCTTGATACAGATAGCTTGAACTAAGAAAAGTATACAGATACAGTATATAGATACAATGTGATCTCCAGCTGTCTGAAGAGATGGTCATCAAATGCTAACTGTAGTTATCTATAAGATTTTAGGTAAATCTTTTTAAAAAAAAATATCATTTAAAAGTTGGTACTTTTTTTTCTCTTCAGCATAAGGCGAGTGCTCTACCACTTGAGCCACACTGCCACTTCCTGTTTTCTGGTGGTTAATTGGAGATAAGAGTCTCACAGACTTTCCTACCCAGGCTGGCTTTGAACTGTGATTCTCAGATCTCAGGCTCCTGAGTAGCTAGGATTATAGGTGTGAGCTACTGGTGCCTGGTTAAAAGTTGGTACTTTTAATGACAGTTATTATTTAGCTAAAAGACAATAGTTCTCATTTGGGGGGGGGAGAAATTACATTAATTTACACCAAATCCCAGAAGCTTTGAGATTCAAGCAACCTCATTGTTCTTGCTCTCTCCTATGTCCCAGTGCCTTCCCTAGGCTTTTTTCCTCACCCTGACACCTCTCCTCTCTATGTATTCCAGCTAGATACCCGCACACAGCCTGTAGACAGGAGCCTGATCCATCTTGCTTCTTAGTCTTGAACACAGAGACAAGACGGGGTAAAAAGCTATAAGACAGGGATTAAAAGCTATAAGCGGAATCTAACAGCCACCTTCCCTCTTTCACAGATTCCTGCAAGAGAAGATCCTCCTTACATAGGATCTCATTAAAAAGCAGAGCAGAATACTGGCATCACCATCTCTTTGAGAGATTCCCACCATCTATCCTCCTTCTGCACTCACTTCCCGCCTGAGCTTTGTGAACACTATGTTCTTCAAATCTCCCTCCTTTACACCCCACCTGCACACCTAGTAGGTACATCAAACTGAATTTTTGACTTCTCACCCCCAAACCTGGTCTTCTCATGATGCTACTGTTCTGTGAATGGCATCCAGGCCCTTCAGCTGTTAGAGTATCTCCTATCAATTTATCCCTTCATTTCCTTCTCATGGTCTTTAGCACTATTATAGCAGTCACTTGACATGGCTAGAAACGTTGTTCCCTTGATTCTCCAGTATCCAGACAGGGCTTGTGGTCTGTTGATACTTAATCAATGTTTGTTTAGTGTTTCAAAGACTACTTGTAAGACCAAGTGTCCACTAAGATCTAGAAGTATACTTTACCTCACCAGAGACTTGAGGTGAGCAAGCAGCCTCATTATCCAGAGTTCATCTAGTACAGAATCCAGCCCACAACTGTCCATTTATTCCCTGAAGGTTTTCTCCTATTTAATCAGACACCTCCCAGAGAGTCTGGCCTCCATGTTCCTCCTAGTCTAAGTCCATTTTCTATACAAATCACAGCTGGGTTTCCCTCCCAAGATCCACTACAGGTGGTGCAGTGAACAAACACACGATTACTTACCACTGTGCACCCATTGTAGAGGTTATGCTGGTCTTTGTGGGCGTGGGCACAGAAGTCCATGCAGGCAGTAACCCCGGAGAAGGGGCGTCCTTCCTTTAGTCCCAAGCGGCAGTCTATTGCTATTTCCTCATTGGTCACCTGTGAGAATGGCCAAGGAGAGTTGCTTATAGAATCTGATATGAAATGCCCTGATTCTGCACTTGGGGAGTTAGGTGTGGGAGGTTAAAGATCACAGTTGTCTTGAACTTAAGAGCTTTTCTGGTTCAAAAGCTCCAGCTCTCAGAGTTACTTCTAGTCCTGCAGTTATCATTTTCTTCTACATTAACTCAAGCACCTCTTGTCTCATTTGGGAGATGCAGGGGTAAGGGAGCTTTGTCTTTCATAGTGGAAACCAGATCAGAGGAGGGGGAGGACTATTAGGAGGAGGTCATGTAGAGAAGGGTTTTGAGAGGTGGTGTGGGACGCAGTTAAACCTGGAATTAAAAGGAAAATAAAAAGAAGGCTGGGCACTGGTGGCTCATGCCTATAATCCTAGCTACTTAGGAAGCTAAGACCTGAGGACTGCAGTTCAAAGCCTGCCTGTACAGGGAAATCCATGAGACTCTTATCTCTGATCACCAAAAAGCCAGAAGTGGAGCTATAGGTCTAGTGGTAGAGAGCTAGTCTTGGGCTGAGAAAGCTCAGGGACAGCATCCAGGCCCTGAGTTAAAGCCCAGGACTGAAAGAGGGGTGGGAGAGTCTTCAGCTAGGAATTAATAAGTTACTCCTGTAATCTTAACTACTTGGGAGACTAAGAACAGGAGACTCAGCTCAGGCAAGAGAGTTTGCATGATCCCTTCTCAACACGCCTGTCATCCCAAGCTATATGGAAATCTGAGACTGGGAGAACCATGGTTCCAGGTCAGCTCAGGAAAAGTTCACCAAGAGTCCATGGAGGAAAGTTAGTCATGGTGGCATGTGCCTATAATTCCAGCAACGACAGGAAGCCTAAAGTAGTTGGATAGTTGCTCAAGTACATGCCTAAGGCAGGAAGCAAGACCCTATCCTAAAAATGTCCCATGAAATACAGAGCTAAAGGCATGGCTCATGGTACAGGACCAGCCTAACAACTGTAAGGTGCTGAGTTCAAACATCATAACTACAAAAAAAAAGGAAGGGGGTTATTTAAAAAAAATAATTACACCATTCCCTCACTTCTGGGCTTGAGCACAAAGAAGCACACATTTCCACTTCGCAACTTCAGGGAGCCTGGGTGGAGATGGCATGTGGTCTAGGCCCTAGTACCTGGTTCTGATAGGCCTGAGGGGCCAGCTGCTTGTAAAGGGGAGCGACTTCAGTGGCCAAGCCCTGGAAATTCTTCCGGAGCACTTCTTCCTGCAAAGAGAAAAGTCACACACATTCAGAGTGGCCCTGTCTGGAAAACTTCACTTGTTGAAAATGAACTCCATCTATCCCCATCCCCAGGTATCACTAGGAAAGTGGAGGTTAACTGCCATTGGGATTTTAGTGTTTCCTCTACCATATCCATTTTAATGTTGGAGACTCAACAAGAAAATTCATTGCCAGAAAGGTCCAGTCATCTTGACTACTGGGCTACCATTCCTCAGAGCCATAGCCCAGTTCAGGCCATGATTCATAAAGCAGGCTCTTGTTTCCAGTGCTGAATGCCCTACCACAGTGTGGTATATGGTAAGCAGGGAAAAAACAACAACAGAGTAACAGGTAAGGGTCTTCTTTCCTATGCTAAAGACAAGAAAGCAGAAACAGACATGAGCTCTTTGCTATGAACTCTATAGCTGGCCTGGAACAGAGCCTGTCATGAGCCAGTTGTTCTGGGGAATCCCAAAGCTTTAGCCACCAGACTGACATACTATTTGTATTACTCAAAAGACACATATGGGGGCTTGGGGTTTAGCCCAGCGGAAGGGTGCCCGCCTGGCGCGCAAGGCCCTGGGTTCGGTTCTCAGCCCTGGTTAAAAAAAGACACATATGGCTATTGAAATGTATATTAATTTTAACTAAAACTAAATTATAAATTCCATCCCTCGGTCTTACTAGCACATTTCATATGCTCAGTAACGTGTGTCTCCTGTAGGGGACAGGACAGCAGAGAATATTTCCATTACAGAGAATGCTCCACCAGATGGCGCTGCTCTAGACAAAGCAGCAGCACCTCACTATCCTTAGCAGAGTTGGGTCACCTCACAGGATGGCAGCATGGCTTGCAGAGCCTCCTAAGAGGCCATGAGCACAGGTAATTGAGAGTTTAAGAAGACAGCAGGATGAAGAGACAAAGACAAGTAGACAAGATTAGCAATGAGAATTGAGAGTGATGGCTTAGCAGTCAATTTAGTAGTGACAGGGATTGGCTACCTCCCTGGCTGCTGCCTCCAGCACAGAGGGCTTGAAGCCACATAGCCAGAGATGAGATTTGTGAGCTCTAGGGAAACTAAGCCTGGGATGGAATCCTGCCTTCACCTTGACCAAGCCACAGCACTTGTGCAAGCTACTTGTTCCTCAGTAAAGTGAAGAACAGTGTCCAGTTCACTGGGAGATCCTAGGATGAACTCAAGTACCTGTGAGGTGATCAGCACTGACCGTATCCACCATACAGCAGGTACACAGGAAATGGTGGCTGTCAGAATCAAGCTAGTATCTGTGACAAATTAAGCAAGTGGCTTTTCATTCCTCGTAACTCTTAGATGTTGGTGACCATGGCGTTTCTCTAGCCACTGAAGCAACTGCATTTGCTGCTTCATATGGAAAGTGGATCCTATCTTATAAAATTCTTTATCAGGCTGAAACCCAGAGGTTTGTGGTTTGAAGAAAAGTCTATGAGGCTCCATCTCCAAAATAACTAGCAAAAGTAGGACTGGAGATGTGGCTCAAATAGTACAGTGTCAACCAAACAAGCTGAGCAAGGAAACAAGAAGCCCTGAGTTCAAACCCCAGTACTGCAAAGGAAAAATGTATTCTATCAAATTACACTTACTTAAGCTCAGAAAATAAACATCAAGTGTTTTTCTTTGTTGTTGTGTGTGTGCGCGGCGGAGGGGGGGGAAACAAAAGCTCTATGTTTGAAAATGCTTGTTAAAGAAGAACAAAGCTGGAGAACAGTTGTTTTCATGGGCTGTGGAGAGGAGGCCCAGTAGATGCTCCTGCCCTACAGGAAAGTGGGAAGCCCTGTTGGTGCTAGGAACTTGTGATATTGGAATGTAAGGCCAGTCTCATGATATTTGCCTACATCCTAGCAAAGGGACACAGCACCTCAACTCCTCAGGATCACAGGCTAAAGAGAAGGAGGCTAGAAGTGACACGGTAAGAAGCCTAACACTTGTGCCTGCTTTGTGTCTGGAATTCTGAGGTCACTTCTTGGGATGGCCATTCAACATGAACGAGAAAAGAGAAATGGCTGAGGCTTATGGGTCCTACATCCTTAGTAGAGCCTATAGTAGAGACTTAGGGGTGCTAGTCCCGTTGTCATGGGGATAGAGAAAAGGTCCTATGGGCAGTGACCCAGGTGAGGTGGCTACAGAGAGAAAGTGCATGCCTAGCATCTATACTGTATGGATGCCAGCCCAGACTGAGGTCCAGGATCCAGCATTGAAACAGTGAGGCCCTATTATGACCAGATAGATGCCCTGCAGGTGGCAAATCATAGGATACTTCAGACAGTCCTGCAAAGACTCAAGAGGATGACGCATGGACTAAAGGCCCCTTTTTTTTTGCTATACCTCCTGCACTCAAAAAGATGTCTCAAAAAGAAATCTGATCCTTTGACAGGACCACCTTCTGATAAGCAATTTGAATACGTAAGTCTTCAGAGTAGTTACCCTAAAGTAGTTTATTAAACTGAAAAACCTGAGGTGGTAAGTTTAAGTTCGTATGCCTCTATACACCTTGTTTCACAGGAAGATAAAGCGAGTTAAAAAAAACCCAAAGTCAAACAATTTACATCTTCTGCACACCTGTGGTGTACCAATCTTACCTCCCATTTGACTACTGAGGACCCCAGGGGTGGATGAGAGGGAGGCCCTTGTGCTTCTAGCACAGCTCCACTCACCTCTTTGGGATTGTCCCCTGCGAGACGGAACTTGCGAGGTGTCTTACTTCGTGCGTACTTGCAGCCGTTGAAGTACATGCTCCAGGAACAGCCAAAGGAGAAGGAGGCACCACAGGTGTTAGGGTCTTTGCCTTGGCAGGCGCAGGTCCGACTGCAATGGACATCATAGGGTAGGTCTATGGATGTGATATCTTTTTGCCAGACTGTTCTTCCTTCCTTAAGAGGAGGCTGAGGCGTGGCATCCCATTTACTACCTGACCCCAAATTCCTTCCTCAGATTTCTTTTGAGGTAGAAAGCTAGCTCTTAGCAGCCTGTTAGTCCTCAGTCCTAAATTGCTGGTCTAACCAGAGTTTATTGTTGGGAAAAGTGTATGGGTTGAGATAAGGCAAGGAATCTAGTGAAAGCCTGAAGGTTCATGCTTTGCCTTAACTGTAATATCCTGGCCAGCTCCAATGTAGTCCAGCCAGCAGGAATGACATGAGACCTAAAGCTTGAATATGCTTGCTCCTTTAGCTCAGATACTGATGGGTCTTAAAACTAATAGACATGTTACAATTCAATAATCAACAAAATCCAGAAATCAAAATGTCCTTCAATTGGAGAATGAATAAAGAGCAACAAATCCACATAGATGTGGATAAGCTACTGACATGTTAACCAAATAAATTTCAGAAATGCCATGCTCAGTGTAAGAAGTCAGGTTCAGGGGCTATAACGCAATATGATCCCAGTTATGTAGCATTCTTGTGAGAGCAAACCAATGGAGGCAAGAAACAAGATGGGTGGTTGGAAAAGGGTTGCTAAAGGGTCCTGTGGGAGTGATGGAACATCATCTTGACTGTGATGATAATGACTGTAAGTGCTAAAACTCTCCCAAGTACCTACCTAAAAGGCTTAATTGAAAGTAAATGTACCTTACCATAATAAAAGGTAGGTTTCATAAATACCAAGACCATATATTTGAGGAACACATATACTTTTTTGCTAACATCAGTTAAGACTCAATAGTGGGCTGGGAAGATGGCTCAGTGGTAGAGCACTTGCCTTGCATGCATGAGGCCCTGAGTTCGACTCCTCAGCACCACATAAGCAAAAAGAAAAAAGCCGGAAGTGGCGCTGTGGCTCAAGTGGTAGAGCGCTAGCCTTGAGCTGAAGAGCTGAGGGACAGCACCCAAGACCAGAGTTCAGGCCCCATGAACGGACCCCCCCTCCCCCCCAAAAAAAAGACTCAATAGTGATCTGGAGCCAGAACTCACCCTGGGATCTGTCTATGGGTGAGCAACTGTTCCTCAGCCTCGGTCCTAGCTCTGCAGAACACACGGCTTCCAGGGAGGAGTGAGCCAACCCAGGGCTGTAAAGAATTCCTGGGCCTGGTGGAGGACCCTGGTTCCCTGACACTGCCCACCTGCTGCCACCCTGCTACGTACTCATCATTGAGGCCGCATCTTCGGCTTGTGGGGTTGCCATACTTCCGGAGGGTGTCAGTGAGCTCCTGGTAAAGGGTGTCTCCAAGGCTACGGGGGATGCCTTCCCAAGCCAGGATGAGAATGACAATCACAGCATTCTGGCAGTGGTGACCTGCTCGGTGCCGCACCAGGCACAGAAGCTTCTCCTCCAGTGTGTGCCTGCGGATCACCTGCAAGGATGGAGGGTTCAGTTAGCTGCAGGAGCTATGTTTCCTTCTTGGTGTCATCCACCTGTCACTGCCACACAGACTTGGGGTGCCCAGTCTTTCAGGATAGTGTCCCATGGGTGCCACATCCTGCCAACAGCAACCACACAGATAAGAAGACTGATATAATCACAGGACAACAACAAAACCCCACCGTTCCTTCAAAGAATAGAATAAAAATTAGCACCAAGTCTAAGATACTGATGACAGGTATAGATTTAGGAGTAAAATTATGCAAGATAAATTCCTAAATCAGTATTATATAGTCAGAGATCGTTTTCTTTGTATTTTTGTTTTTGCATTACTAGGATTTAAACTTGCGCTTGCTAAGTGGCAGGTCCTCTCCACTGCCATGTCTCTAGTTCCTTTGTTGCTAGTTAGTTTTGAGATAAGGTCTTCCTTTCTTCTCGGTCATGTGCCCGGGCAGGGTAATGATCTGTCTATTTTAGGTTTCCCAGCATAGCAAGGTTATGCCCACCACTCTAGCTCTTTCTGTTGAGATGAAGTTGCGAGGGCTCCTCTGCCTGAGCTGCCCTGGCACTAAGATCCTCCTGACCTCAGCCTCCCAAGGACCTAGTATGACAAGATTACATCAAAGAAACCTTGATAGTATCCTAAAGCATTTGCAGAGAAAATGTGGTATACCTGTGTGGTTTTGGTTAAAAAAGCAAGGGCATGGCACTTGGGAGAACAGTGTGTGGTTCTTCAAAAAACAAAACACATCTTAGCTATGGGAAATAATGCTGCAATAAACATAGTTGTGCTGGTAGCTTTAGTATGGCCTTGTGATTGTTTGGGTAAATGCCCAAAAGTGGGATTACTGGGTCATAGGGGAGCTCTATGTGTAGTCTTTTGCGGAACTTCCATACTGCTTTCCAAAGTGGAACAAGTTTACACTCCCACCAACAATGCAGTAGGGTTCCCTTTTGGCCACATCCCCTCCAGATGCCCCTCAGTAGATGAATGGATCAAGAAAATGTAATATATATATATATATATATATATATATATATATATACACACACACAATGGAATTCTATGCCTCCATCAGAAAGAATGACATCTCCCCATGTGTTAGGAAATGGAAAGACTTGGAAAAAATTATATTAAGTGAAATAAGCCAGGCCCAAAGAAACATAGGTCCCATGGTTTCTCTTATTTGCAATAACTAGTATATGTCTGAGACAAGCAGAAAAGGTCAAAAGCTATGTACATATGACCATATAAGATGATGCTAAGTGAAATGAACCCCAGGATAGGGACACAAGGGTTTTTTTTTATCTTTCTTGCTGTTGTTTTTAATGTATTTTTAATGTACTATGTGATTTTTTTTTGTTTATTCTTCCCCCATGGTATAACCCCTGTTTTCACTGTATTTGATTCTGGTGCCCTGCATCTCCTTTATACATTTTTCTAATTTGGGGAGGGGAAGGGAAATAACAAAATGCTGAACTAAGGATACAGGTTGACCCACTGTAACAATGAGATATACAAGACACTATGTTGAAAACGAACTTTACAACTTTGCAGGCGGCATGGGGGGGGTAGGGAGGGAGTAGTTAAGGAGGTGAGGGGAGGGAAGGGATGGTAGGGGAAAAACAAAGGAGGCGGTAACAATGCTTGACAGGAAATGTACTCATTACCTTACTCATGTAACTGTAACCCCTCTGTACAGTATCTTTACAATAAAAAATATATACAACCCCCCACAGAATTAGCATATAATCCAGCAATTTTACACCTTGGAATATTACCAAAGGAACTGGGTGTGAAAACTCTGTTGTATGAATCCACTAACATGAGGTACCTGAATATGTCTCGGAGAGATGGAAAGTGGATTAGGGTTGTCAGGAACTGAGGAAGAGAGAGTTCCTGTTAATGGGACAGAGCTTCACATAGGGATGATTGTAAATAGACTATGCTGATGCTGCAACAATGTCAATGTACTTAATGCTACTGACTTGGACACAAAATAATTGAAATAGTAAATTTTACATTGTATATATGTTACCATAATTTAAAAAAATGATACACTCATCAGGAACCAGTGGTTCTTGCCCATAATCTTAGCTACTCAGGAGGCTAATATCCTAGTTCAAAACCAGCCTGGGAGGGTAAACCCAAGAGACTCTAACCAGCACAAAGACAGAGCAGAGGTGTGGCTCAAGTGGTAGAGCACCAGCATTGAACAAAAACAACTAAGTGAAAGCTTGAGGCCTTAACTTCAAGCCCCAGTATTAGCACAACAAAACAAACAAAAAGATATATTCAAAACACTGACCTGTGTACTTTAAAGGGCTGAATTGTGAGGTATGAGAACTGTATCTCAAAGTGGTTTGGTTTTTGTTGTTGGTGTTGGTCATGGGGCTTAAACTCAGGGCTTGGACACTGTCTTTGAGCTCTTTCACTCAAAGTTAATGCTCTACCACTTTGAGCCACCATGCCACTTCTGGTTTTCTAGTGGTTAATGGGAGATAAGAGTCTCATGAACTTTCCTGTGAGAGCTGGCTCCAAACTGTGATCCTCAGATCTCAGCCCCTTGAGTAGCTAGGATTACAGGAATGAGCTCCAAGTGCCCAGCAATAAACCCATTTTTAAGCCAGGCACTAGTGGCTAACACTGTAATACTAGCTACTCTGGAGACCTTAGATCTGAGGCACTGGGTTCAAAGCCAACCTGTGCAGACAAATCCATAAGACTCTTAATTTTCAATTAGCCAGCAAAAATCTGGAAGTACAGCTCAAAGAGTGGAGCACCAGCCGCAAGTTAAAAAGCTAAGCAAAAGCATGATATCAAGTTCAAGCTTATGAGTACTGGTGTTTGTGCACTTGCATACTCACAACACTGCTCTGAAGCTAGGAGCCAGGTGCTCTCTTTCCAGTTTTCATTCTTTCTCCAAACAAAAAGATGTATCAAGGGGCTGGGAAGGTGGCTCAGTGGTAGAGCGCTTGCCTTGCATGCATGAGGCCCTGGGTTCGATTCCTCAGCACCACATAAGCAAAAAGCCGGAAGTAGCGCTGTGGCTCAAGTGGTAGAGTGCTAGCCTTGAGCTAAAGAGCTGAGGGACAGTGCCCAGGCCCAGAGTACAGGCCCCACAACCAGACCCAAAAGAAACAAACAAAAAGATGTATCAAGGTCCTGGGAACTGGGGAAAAGGATGAATCTTCTCAAAGGGCCCCAAGTAATGTATGATCAATATGGGGTGACCCTGAGGCTAAAGGACAGGTAGCAGGTGGTTTCTGTGCTGTGTGGCTTAGAAGAGTGGGTATGGTAGTGGTGCTGAGTGGTGAGGTAACAAGGAGCATGCTGAGATCAAGCTACTTGGGAACACCTAAGTAGCTATTTCTAGTAGTTCTCATCAGGATGAGTCTGGAGATCAGGAGCTGCCTGGGCTGCAGATGGACATGCTAAACTCTGTCACTTAGCCCATGTTGAAGGCCTAGAAAGTGGCACCTGGGCACAGACAATAGTTATGAACAAAATAGCCAGATGCAATGCCAGGAGTGGTGTGGACACAGCAAGGTGAAGGCATCTGCTCATCAGAAGTGAGCTTGTCTTCTATCAACTGCCTGGGGGGAATGCAGCTAGTTGGTGCAGATAGTTTGTTCCATTTGCAAGAAAAGCAAAAATGCAAACTTTTAAATGATGTGAGTGCCACATTCCATCTTTTGACAAAATATACAAAATTCACAATTTAAAATGCCTATTTTAGTGGTATTAGGTACACGGACACTGTTTTGCCACTACAATGATTTCTGTAAGTTTCTGAAGCAAAAGCTTTATTCATGAAACAATTACTCCATCCTTCCTTCCCACGACCCCTGGCAACCAACTGTTCTACTTTCTGTCTCCATAAATTTGACTCCTCCAAGTACCTTGTATGAGTAAAATTATATGACATTTGTCCTTTTATGACTGGCTTTTTAAATTTTAGGTCTGAGACTGGTATTTGAACTCTTTCCCTAATGCTTTCACTCATTGGCTAGCATTCTACCAACTGAACCAAGCCTCCACCCCTATGACTGACTTTCCTTAGTCCATTCATGTCGCATGTATCAATTTTCTGCAAAAAATTTTTTTCCTGCCAGTCCTGGGGCTTGAACTCAGTCAGGGCCTAGGTGCTTTCCCTAAGCTTTTGTTCTTAAAGCTAGCCCTCTAATTTGAGTCACAGTTCCACTTTTGGTCCCCCTTCCCCACTCCCCTCATGGCTAATTGAAGAGTCTCATGGACTTTCCTGCTTGAACTAGCTTGGAATTGTGATCCTCAGATTTCAGCCTCCTGAATAGCTAGGATTACAGACCATGCACCACCAGCACCTAGCTCCTACATTATTTTTTGTTGTTGTTGCTATTATAAAAGCGATATACAGAGGGATTTCCTGCAAACTTTTAAAAGATACTTTCCATGCTAAAGAACTGGTCAGGAACTATTGCTTTGGACAAGGCAATGATAGCACTTCTCTCTGAATCACCAATTGTATCATTTTAAGAACTGCATTCTGGGAACCCAGAACACACAAATAAAGTCAGCTATTACATCAGAACTCTGTGTAGCTGCCTGATTTCATGCAGACTGGGCTGGACATAGGGGTGTCAACATTATCTGTGGACACTAATGGTTTTCAGACCATGGTTTTCCAGGTGTTATGGTCAACCTATGCTCATGGTTTGGGGCAATCCACAGGCTGGCTACCCTCATGGGCATGTGTTCAGGCCACACAGCAGGACCTAACCAGCCAAAGCTGTGACTGAGGCCATGCCATTCTGTTTTCTCAAGTGGCAAACATAAATGTCACAGATTAATGACAGCTCTCTCTGGCCACAGTGTTACAGCCCAATGGGTATATCAAAAACCTAGAAAACAAAAAAGGGGCACTGCTCCATGCCTACACACCTTTGAAGGAACCCAGAAGGAAGAAACAAAAATATAAAAATCTAAGGAGAATGCATAATACCACCACACCCAGGCACCACAACATTTTCTGTCTGACAATCACAATATCTTACCTAGGTTCTGGGCAAGAATTTCCTGGCACTGTAACATCAGCAGCATGACACCAGCAGAGCCCAATCTACCCTCCCAGAGGGGCACAGCTACCTTCAAATCACAAGGTACCTGCTGGCTTTCTGGGCTGATCCATTCCATTCTCACATCATTCTTCCAATGTATTTTCAGGTACCTATGATGTACCTTGACTTTATCCCCTAAATCCCAATCACTGCTTTTAGCTAATAGTACTGAGGTACTGGTGAGGGTGGGGGTGTCTACAGACATAAACCCTGGCTGAAAACACAACTCCTGGACCAGTGTTGTACAGTGACTCCACAGGAAGTGATTCTACCCCAGGCAAGTGGATGCTGCTGCCACTTCCCCATGATCACAGAGCACTGGATAAAGTACTTGATGCCAAACTACCACCAAGAGTAATCTTCCCTTAAAAGCACTTCTGAGTCACTTCTCTAGCAGGTGAGAGGAGAGGGAGTATCTACCCCCTCTTAACTTCCAAAGTAGGTAGAAATCGTTACAGGAGCCCTCCTACCAAAATTCACCGAGTGTTTGGCAGCTGTATATCAAGCACCTCTCATTCCCAACCTGCCACACCGACAGTGGCTACAAAACAAAACAAAACCCCCCAAATCCTCAGCACTATTTTCTTACCACTCAGTTTTGTGACCAACTACCTGTGTGTTCTTGCCATAAGAAAAAAAATGTTTTCTTGTTTTATCATTAGCATGGAAATTTTCCTACACTTGCCACACATCCCCTTCTATGCATCGTCTATAAGGTTTTGGGGATCTCCATCAGCTGTTCCATCCTTGAAAGAACCTCAGGCTGTATTCTACATGTGCTCAGACCCTGTGGGATCAATGTACTGAGGATGGGGTTCGTCCCTTCTAACCTTCAGCTTCCTGCCCATAATAAACATGTTCTTTCAGTCCTGGGCAGAGTCCTGCAAGTATGATCAGGAACAAAAGCTTTACCATCTACTTCTAGGTTCTGAACATACATAGTCTCTTCTTTAATGCTACCCACATAACCAGCCACCTCTCTCTTTAAGCTGCTATCTTTTCTGATGCTGGAAATGCCTCTAGCTCTATCTGTATCCTAAGGATCTTCAGTTTCTGATCCAAGACGTGAATTTCTCAAAAAACCAAACAGAAACATCACTGTCATTCTCTTGCAACAATTATGTGACAGACACAAAGATGGGGACAATATTCGTCATACCCGTGAGTGCACTAAGTAGCAGATTCCTTTGCTGTATGTAATTCTGCAGTAGAGACTGAAAACAGTTAAAAATAGGCATGTGGCAGTTAAATATTCACATATCTATAGCCACTAAATGCAAAGATGCAGAGGACAGGGGTCTGCCAATTTAAACTAGCATGTGTGCAGATGGACAAATGCTGATGAAGGTCATCCTACCAGTCTCCTCAGAGTCAGCCATATGTGTTCACCAGCCATTGTGACTTTGCCCACATGACCTTCTCCTCACTGGGAATGCTTCCATTACCGCCCAGTCCACTTAATAAGGCCCAGTGCCCATGGCTTCACACCTCCACTTTCTTGGGAATACCTAACCTGAACATCAAATCCTGCCACTCCAGTCCCTTGTTCTTGACTTCTACAGCAACATGTTTGCCTCTCCAAGTTAAATCTCATCTTTTTATGTCCCCACTACTTTGAGGGTCTATAAAGCATAAACAGCTTGAAGATGAATATTCTGGGTTCCTTCAGTAGTGTGTGGGTATGAGCAACTTGTATACATACCCTCATTGAGTACTCAGCAGATGTTAAACTCATAGGTATTCCAAGAGCCTGGTTCAGCAGAAGCAGATGATTAAAGAGCTACCTAGAGTGAGAAGGGAAAGCCAAGAGAACTGGCCTCTGTTTTTGGTAACTGGGATTGATGTCAATGATAATTCTCCTTGCTGAAATGCTCAGGCTTCCTGGCAAGAAACACTAACCCAGAGGCTGGGCAGAGGCAAGGTGGATCACAACCCTGTAAAGCCAGAGGATTTGCAACATCCCTCAGGTTGGATCACAGCAGGGTAACCTTCAGAGTCCTTCCTAGGTTCCAGGAGCATAGTTACATGGAGATGGGAGAGGAGACTCCTCAGGGGCCCATTTCCTCAGAGTGATGGCAGCATTTCCAGCTCCCCATTTCCTTCCCCTTTAGCTCTGAAGCACAGACCACATGAACTAAGCAGATGATTAACACAATTACAACAGAGATCAGTATACCAGGGACTGGCATTTAATCAAGACAAAGACAAGCAGCTTTTGCTAGGAGAAAATGACCCTAACCAAGCACTAGGCATTGGCTCCAGAGTCTCTTCATGGTGAACATGTCTGTTGCCTTCAAATACATCCACCCCTTTGCTTGTCTGAAACTTGTTCTGCTATATGAGCTCATGGGCAAAGACAGCCAGGCCCATCTTGGCTGTGGGGACTTGACACTCACCCACTTGGCAATGGGGCAGCCACGGGAGCTCTTTCCCTCCTTCCCCGTGTAGATGACCTTCTCAATCCGGATGGCTTTCCCTTTCTCTCCATACCTAGAGAAGGAAACAGATGGTACCATCAGTATAGTGGAGCCCCAAAGGAAAATAGCCCATGGCAAGAAGGCAAGCCCATATGCATATTAATTCAAGCTTCTAGTTACTGGGGGGGGGGGGGAAACAACAGAAAGTTTAAATTGTTATTCTGTAATCAGAGGCTCTTGAGACACAATGGGTACTTAGCAGGTTCCTAAGCTGGCCTTTGCTTTTCTACCCATCTTCTGTTTTCATTCATCTCTAGTTCCAGGACAGGGAGCAGTTAGGCAGAATGTCCTTGATTAGTGACATCAAGAGAATCATTTGCACCCATCCCTGCTAGCAGAGTTATCCGAGCATTCACTATTTATAAATTCAATAACACAAAAGAAAACAAATGAGGAAACCATTTACTTAACCAACCTAGCTACCCTATGAACAGACAAGACTGGGGAAGTGTTCTGGTCACACACAAATACCAATGTCCATGTTCACCTAGACAATATTGGAGTCTCCTACATATACTCACTTCCCTGGGCATGTCCTGAGTGCTCAAAGCCTACGTTTTCTAACACGATCTAAGCAATGATGAAAGTATGAAACAGAGCAGAATTGACTTGCCTAAGGCCACACAACTTTATCAAATACATTTTAACATCTAAGAAGACAAGTGTTGAATAGTTTTTCTTCTTTGATCAATTAACATAATATGTTTAACAGACTTTATGTAAGTCAAGCTATCCTTATTGAGTTTGTTTTATAATGATTTCAATTTGATCATATATATATATATTTTAATATATTATTAAGGTGTAATGCTGGCATAGCTACTACTAAAATACATATTCTCTAATTCACTCCACTTCTAGAAATCACATCCTCAAAAATAACCACAAATACATCAGGCTAGGGGTGTAGCTCAGTGGTACAAGAGTGGGTATGATTAATCCTGCTTGACTCAGAGATACACATATCTTTGTAGATGGTTAGAAAGACTGAAGGTTAACATTAAACTTTTAACGAAGGAAAAATTGCTGAAGTTTGATCCACTCTATACTTGAATTTTTTTTTTTGAGACAGGGTTTAGCTATGTAGCAGAGGCTGGCCTTAAACTCACTGTCTTCTTGCCTCTGCCTCCTGAATGCAGGGGTTTACAGGTGTGCCTCACTATAGCTGGCCTATACTTAGATTGAGTCCCTTTTATTGTTATAATTAAAAATGATAATAAAAGGGTTTTTATTAAGCTTTCTTCTTTCTAAAGATAACTAAGGACCTCAGCTAGTATTCTCCAAGGATGAAACCACGATCATTATCCATATCATCTAGAAAATTAGTAGAAGAGGCAGGCTCTGAAGTTTCATCCTTGACCCACTTGATGAGGAACTTGGTAGAGTCTAGCACTCTGTGCTTCCACAAACCTCCTAAACATTAAGAATCATTGCTCTAAAGCTGTGCTTCTCCAGGGTTAGCTCTGCTACCCTGATGAGATCAGTTTCTACCACAGCTCAGCAACTTGCAAGCACAGTGTTGGTTCTTTGTTTCTAGAAGAAGCATTCATAGAACTCCTAGGCTGCAGAGATTCCCTTTCCAAGACAGACTGCACAAGAATGTGGGTAGTGATGCACCATTCTCAGATATGAGTTTGAAAACTGACTCCAATTATCCAATTATCTGTGACAATGAGGATCCTAGGTATCTAAGCATTCAAGTATGAAGTCCATAAAGAAATTGAGAACTAGGTGCCAGTGGCTCACCCCTGTAATCCTAGCTACTCAGGAGGCTGAGATCTGAGGATCATGGTTCAAAGCCAGCCTGGACGAGAAAGGCCATGAAACTCTTATCTCCAATAAACTACCAGAAAACTGGAAGTGTCCCTGTGGCTCAAGTGGTAGAGTGCTAGCCATGAGATGAAGAGCTTGGGGCAGCATCTAGTTTCTTCAAGCCCTACAACTGACCAAAAAAACAAAAAACAAAAAAAGAAAAAAGAAATTGGGATACTCTGGGATTTGCTGTCAACCATCCCTCCTTTCCCAGATCTGTATCAGAAAAACTGAAAAGTACTAATTGCTCCTTAATTTCAGTTTATTTTCCCATTTCTGGCTTTAGCCAACTCCTGTCACAGTATGGTGGTTCTTCATAGAAATGATGGAGGAAAAGGAAAAGGAGAGAAAGATAGTCAAGGCCATTTATAAACTTGCCTCCCTCCTCCCCCCACCCAAGTATTTTCAATCATTCATTCATTCATTCATTCCTCTCTTTGGTTCCACTAAGGGCTAAGAATGTGGCTCAGTGGTATAGCACTTGGGCTCAATTTTCAGCATAATGACAACAATAATTGCCTATAAGATAAAAATAACAAGTGACAAAATTGGGGAAAAGAGGGAAAGGGTCAGAAAATAAAGGACTGATAGGTATATTAAATACAATTGGTAGAATTTGGGGTATATTTTTGAGACAAGCCTGGAATATCATAGGAGAAATAAAAAACATTATTAAAGACTCTAGGCTTAGAACTAGAGGTGACACTTTCCTTTCTAGTGTGTGCATGTGTGCACAAGTGTGTGCATACACACACAAGTGCTCATGCATGTGGGGAAGAGATTGTGGTAGTGATAATACAATGCTGACTCTACACTTACTAGCAGCCAACATAAAGATGGAAATGCAATCTGTTACATGATTTCCAAGGTTCTTGCGATAAAAATAAACCAGTTGCTGAGGAAAACCATAAGTATTCGTGGTGTATTCTTGAGAGGAATTCCTCCCTTGAATGTTTCTAGAGAATCTAAAGTTGGCTGCTATTTCTAAGCAATGAAGAAAAAAATAAATTCTCAACTTTATCACTGCCTAATGATCCTTGTTTCAGGATATACTCTGCTTGAGTTAAAAGTTACTTAGAGGGCTATATGGAAATCTTATGAAATTATTATTCTGCAAAAATGTAAAATGCAGAAATGCAAAATCAAAAACCAAACAGCCATCCTAGACCAAACATATACATCTGACTCTCTTGCAGCAAATGACATGTTGACATTCCTTAAAAAAAAAAAATCTCTTTGGCCCAATGCTGACTTGTCCAGTCCGAGAACTGTAGGAGACATGCATGTGGGTGTATGTAGTGGCATGTACAACACACACTGCTTTAAACCTACTTGGTTCTCCTGGACTCAGAAGGGCCTTTAAATCCTATCTGAATTTACAGAGCAGCTCTGTGATCAAATGCTTTTCTGGTGGGCTACTCTAAACAGAATGGTTCCAGATGACAAGAAATTGAGTGATTCCTGTATAACACTGATCTCCACCCATCTTGTCTGACATCTCAATCATGTTCGCTGCTATACTGACAGAACTAGTCTGGTTCCCCAGGTGACACAAAATCTTGTTCTCAAATCTGTGGAAACTCTAAGCCATTCAGCCTTCCACACAACTACATGCATATACTGGCAAACATATGGCTATGTCTGTATCACCTTTGCCTTTATCTTCTTTGAAATGCTAGTACTTATTGTGTCTTTTTCTTTTTAAAGCAATCTGTGCAAGTATATGAAATATATGTGACAGATACTCTGTGGTTCTCATATGGGAGTGCAGAGTATCCTCACAACATTCTCAGATTGTATGTACCTCTGGAGTATCTACTATGTGCTACAGCCACAGCCACACACTTTAAAGTCTAGATGAACAGCTTAAAAAAATCTATATGAATTGCCTAAAAAGCAAAACAAAGCTAAACAACAACAACAAAAAACCCTCCAAAATTCTGAATTTGAATTGAGAAAATCAATATAAGCTTAGGATGTAGTCAATCTCTAAATAATAATAAAGATTAAAAACCTTCAACTTCAGTCTTGCTACTGAAAATGGCCTAAAAATAATGGACAGACAACTGTAGCAATGAACACCCACATCCTTAGTACTCAGAATCTTTTTTCTAAGTGATTTTTCCTCTAGTGAATCAGGACTTCTTGACTATATGCACAATATGGCTTTAGAACGTCTTGTCATACAAGAAGTCAAATACATGATACAATCTATGAAGTAGTTTTGAAAAAGAAAGAAAAAGACCCTAATTACAATTGGGCCTTTAGCTCTGACTACCAATTTATAGGCCTTCTAGAGGGCAGAACATTTTAAACAGTATCACAGAAAAGCTACCAGCAAAACTTGAGCTAGGGGAAACTAACTCTGTAGACATAGAATCAAAAAACTATGTTTTTTTTCAATAAAAATATTTCAGGAATAAGAGAAAAGGTGGAGAGAGGGGGAGGGGCACATGGAAGGCAAAGCTACAGATTAAAGAAACAAACCCAGACCTGGAAGTAATGTTCCCACACTTAATCTGCTACAACCTGAATCATGAGGCTTTTCATTTTGAATGCTATTGATACAAAGCAACAGAAACCAGCAGTACTTAAAACAATCCACATTCTATCAACACACACCCATGCTTCCTCAAGTATCTGTGCAATACTCACCGCTCCTCCATCAGTTCCCGAATAGAGGCTACTGTGGGGCCAGATCCCAGGTGAGTATAATATGGACCTTCATCTTTCTCCACTATTTGTTCTGCATAGAAACCAAAGAATAGGCATTATTTAGAGATATTAATTAATCAACATTAATTTAGAAAAGCAAAACTACCAATAGGAAAAATAATAGGCATGTTACAAAACAGGAAACTCAAGTGGTTTATAAATATGTACAAATGTGTTTCATCCCTTTAGAAATTAGGAAACACAAATTAGAGTCAAAATAAAACTGGTTACACACCCACAAAATGAGCCAAAATTTAGACATCTGATAAAATGAAGTGAAGTCTGTGGTTTAACCACTCTGGAAGTCAGCTCACACTCACCCAGTAAAGCTGCAAGTTGCACCCAGCAAGACTCAGCAATTCCATGTCTACATGCACACTCTAGAGCAGGCATCAACATTGCTCCCAATGAACTCAATATCCAGACTCACAGAAGCAGCATTCACAACCAGGTAAAAACAACAACAGATGAGAAGACAGACTAAGTGCAGTGGAATCATATAGTGGCATATGATTCGGCCTTGAATACTACACTAAGTGAAATACGTTGAACACAAAAGAATAAATACAAGAGTCCACTGAATCAAATTACCAAGAAGAGGAAAATTCATAAAGGAAGTAGGACATAAAAGTTACAGGGGCTGGGAATAGTGAGAATGGAGATTAGTCATGATGGGGAATTGTTGAGGGTGATGCACAAGTTGTAGAAATGCTACTGACAGTTGCATAATACGGGAAATGTAATCAATGCCACTAAACTGAATGTACACTTAAATAAGTCTAAAATGGCTAATTCTGTTATATTTACCACCACAAAAAGAGAAGCAAGCACTGACACATACTATCACATGGATAAACCTTGAAAACATTACGTTCACAGACAAGCCAGATCAATCCATTCATATGAAAGAGGCAGAACAGATAGAGCTATAGAAGCAGAGTGACTGAGGGCAGGGCTTGGGGGTGGGCAGACAAGAGTCACTGTTCAGTAGGGTCTAACTCCAGAGAACTGAAAATGCTACCCAATGAGTTAAGAGGTAGCTGTACCATACTTTGTGCAAACTCAGTGCAACTGAATTGTTCGCTTTAAAATGGTTAATTTTGTTATGTGAAGTCCACCTCAATTTTTAAAACTGAACAAACTATTGATTCATGCAACAATGTAGATAAGATTTAAATGATTGTTTTCTAAGTGAAAGAAAGCAGAACCCAAAGGTTACATAGTAGTAACTTTGTTTAAACAGGGTTTTGACTGGATACTATAAGGCTAAAAACAATAAGAACTCTACACATAGTACACCACTGTTCTGCAATTGGTAAGTTTGTTTCATATCTAAGGAGACAGGACAACTGAATGCAATGTAGTTGCATTTCACATTTTGTCTGGATCTTGTAATAAAAAGAACAATAATGAAGCTTAAAAATCTGCAGTTAACAGTATTGTGCCAACATTAACCTCTTACTTTTGATGCACCAGAATTATATAAAATATTTACATTAGGGAAGGTATGAAAAGGATGTACAAGAGCTCTACCTACCAACTTGGCAACTCTCCGATAAATATAGAAACATCTCTAAGTAAAAAAATAAAACAAACCAGGCAGTGAGCTGTAATTTGTGATCTTGTCCTTTAAGAAATCCTGATAGTACTCATTACCTTATTCATGTAACTGTAACCCCCTGTATGGTATTTTTACAAAAAAAAAACAAAAACAAAGAAATCCTGATAGGTCACAGTAGCACACACCTGTAATCCCAGCTACCCAGGAGGCAGAGATTGGGAGGACATCCGGGGCAAAAGTTAGTGATACTCTCATCTCAACTAGGAAATTAGGCACAGTGGTTTATGTCTGTAATCTACTACTCAGGAAGGTTGCTGTGTGAAACCAGCCTTGGGCAAAAACATGAGATCCTAATGAAAAGTAACTCCAGTTCTCACACACATCAAAACATATAAAAGGATTTTCATAGGGACACTTGAGCAACCGTCAAAATTGGAAACAATCTACTAGAGATGGAATGTCTGTCTGTGCCTTCCCAAAGTCCCGTGTGATGATACTGGGATGCGAGGCTTTCAAAAAGCATTAGCTTCTGAGATTGGGGCTTCTCTGGTTTCCACTGCAAGCAGCCTGAGCTGAGAGTACTTAACCCTAAGTTTAAACCCCAATGCTGCACCTCCCCCACCCCCAAAAAGAAAGGCTAGCGACGATGTGTGTATTTGTGAATGAACGGTGTTTCAACTTCCTCAGTTCATGAAGGCATCAGGTTACTTTTCCCTTCCTACTGTCATGGACTATTAGCATAGTCTCCTGCCTGGTCCCCATCTAAATCATCCTACCCAATGCCACCTGTTATGTTCCCAAAACACTACTTCCCACTGACAGCTCTGACAGGCAGAGGACAGAAGCCAAATTCCAGAGCACTGTCAGCAGCCCCTCACCCCTGCACACCTCCCTACCATGAAGCCACCCTCATAGCCTCCTGCCATACAACCACACAGTGCCTGGTGTCTTTAACTGTTTTCTCACCAAAAACACTGCCTTCTCTTGTTGGAAGAACTTACCTCTTAAGGTATTGTACAAGTATCACCAATAGGCAAAGGCTCCTGCACTTTTTCAGTGCCCCTGCATGCACTAGCAACATCAAAGCATGGGTTGTGACCCACAAGGAACTGTTGTGGGGCACATACAAGGGCGAAGCTGCAGGTGAAGGTTTCACTCTTGCTCTCAACTCATGTTTTCACATGTAAAATATACTATAGGACTTTGAACTCAATAGGTTATTGATCTGTCAAATGACTGAAGGACATACAAGTTATACAACCTTCAGAAGCTTTAAAGCAGTTGATAATATTTAAAACATTAGAAAACTGTTGAGGATGAGAAGAAATGTAAGGTAATAAGCTTAATGTTACATGAATAAATGGTTTCAATTAGACTTAAAAACTACCTACTCTGCCAGGCACTGGTGGCTCATGCCTGTAATCCTAGCTACTCAGGAGGCTGAGATATGAGGATCTCAGTTCAAAGCCAGCCTGGGCAGGAACGTCTGTGAGACTCTTACCTCCAATTAACCACCAGAAAATTGGAACTGGTGCTGTAGCTCAAGTGGTAGAATGCTAGCCTTGAGCTGAAGAGCTGAGGGACAGTATTCAGGTCCAGAGTTCAAGCCCCATGACCCTCAAAAACAAAACAAAACAAAACAAACCTACCTACTCTAAATATACACTATTCAGACCCATGAAACTACATTTATTACAGAAGGAGGTAAATGAAGAGTCAGCCAAGAGAAGGTGGCTGCTGGTGGTAGCAGTCTGAAAGCCCTTCAGAGGTGCTAAGAGACCATATAATATACAGAAAATAGAATAAAGTATATACCATAACTTCTGAGCTCTGTTCCAGTTTCTATTGTCTGGAGAAAAGTCAAAAAAATGAATTGACTACAGGGTTTTTGTGGCAACTGGAACATAATATAGTTTTTGGTGACTACTTCTGCCTCAAACGGCAAAACTCAAAACTCTCATGGCTAAGGCAAAGAAGACGACATTCAAGGACAAGTTACAAACTAAATCTTGGCAACTCTATCTCAGTAGCTGCAAATGAAAGAAAGACGATGTAAACCAAGCCAGCCTGGAAACTGGCCTGTCAGGTTTCTCTGGGAGGGCCACTGAAACACCCTGGGAAGATACTACAAGAGCCAAACAAAACCAAAGCCAATTTCAGCAATTTATAAGGTAGCCCAGCAGTGTCTTAAAAACACTTTCTTCCCATTGCACCACTTTCTCTGAGAATATACTTCCTCTAGGGGAGGGTGTGGGGGGGGTGGGGTTATATGTGAAGAAATAGTATTGAAACTAGGGTGGGCTTAGAGGTGTGGCTCAAGTGGTAGAGCAACTGCCTAGCAGGTGTGAAGACTTGAGTTTAAGCTGCAATACTACTACCCCCCCCTCAAAAAACAAACAAACAAAAAACCTAACTCTATGGAACTGGAAATGTGGCTCAAGCAGTAAAGTACCAGACTTGGGTGAAAAAGCTGAGCAAGAGTGATGCATACAGAAGGACAAAGAAAAAAAAATCACCCAGGTGTACATTGTACATCTATATACATGTACACAAACCCACTCACAAAATTTCTTCTTGCTTTATATATTCATTACCATATAAGGTACTTTACAATACATGGAATGTGGCCACTAGACCTACTATTAACTTTTACCTTGCTAATACCATATACATGCCCAGAGCTGAATTTACATGCTTTTGCACACACAGTAACTTTTTGTTTCAATGCTGAATCATAACACACACTTTTGAAGTTTTAATTTTTCTTCATGTACAGCCTTGTGTTTGGTGTTTTTTTTTTTTTTTTCTCCCAAAGGCTGGTCACAGACTGATCTTCCTAACTATGGCTTCCCACATATTTGGGACCACATCTTGGCTTTTTGATTGAGATGAAGTCTAGTTTTTTTTGCCCAAGCTGGCCTCAAACTGCAATCTTCCCCAAACTCCATCTTTCCAAACACTTAGGATTATAGGTATAGCTTGACAATAAATTATTTTTGGAGGGTGGGGAGTGGTGACATTACTGGGGTTTTAACTGAGGGCTTCATGACTTGCTAGGCAGTGGCTCTATTGCTTAAACCACATCTCCAACCCATCTTTTTGAAACAGGGGTCTTACTAATTTCTTGCCAGGGCTGGCCTAAAATTGTGTTCCTGCCAATCTCTATCTCCTAGGACCACAGGCATAAGTCACTGTACACAGCTGGAAGACATTCATTTTTTCTCTCTCTCTCTCCATTCTTTTTTCTTTTGTTAGTAGTGGGGCTTGAACTCAGGGCTTGGGTGCTGTCTCTGAGCCTTTTAAATTTAATTTTATTGTAAAGGTGATATACAGAGGGGTTATAGTTACATAAGTAAGGTAATGAGTACATTTCTTGCTGAATAGTGTTACCCCCTTGTGCTCAAGAGTTGTGCTCTACCACTTGAGCCACAGAGCCACTTCCAGTTTTGGAGTGGTTAGTTGGAGATGAG